TAAGTTTATAACAATATGTATCACGTAAGCTTCGAGAGGTGACATAGGTTAAAATAAAGTTTTGAGAACAATGGGTCAGGTAAGCAGATACCAAGATTCTGAGAAACGGTGAAATACACAGGACGTGGTGACTCGTCTGTTGTACAATAAAATCCTGTTTAGAGCAAGATGAAAAAGTACATAGCCTTGTAAGGAAAATTTAATGTTATGAGAAGATATGCGGTAAGGTAATCAGTGAATCGCAACTCATATAATCACACATAACGGGCGATCAAAAATGAGTTGCTGTCGAGTCGCCTTTGGATTTTTAAGATAAGTACGATTTGCCTTGTAAACAAAAATTCCAAAGGTGACTCGACAGCAACTCATTTTTGATCGCATGGTATGTACCTTAGGGCCGGTATTATAAAGCCCGCTTGAACGGAGATTGGCGTTCAATCGTAGTTTGAGTGCGATTGCGAGTATTATAAACGCCGTTTAAGTCGTAACCAGAGCTCAATCTCCGATTGTAGTCAACCCGCCAATTTTCTCGGGTTTTGGCGCCCAAACGGAGATTAAGCGCGCGCACGTGTGAAGAACTGTAACCAGTTTATTTTGTTTTGTCATTGTTTCTATTTATAATGAAATGGAAATAATTGAAATTGGACGTGCAAGAGATCGGTTACCGTGGGCAGTAAGCGACGATGACTCTTCATCAGAGGATGAGTTCATTAGAAGAAGAGCAGAAATTTTAGAGAACGTGTTGATCATTTCGGCAAGTGATTCGAAGAGGAATTTCGGCAAGTGAGATGAAGAGGAATTTCGGCAGAGATTTCGGTGATCCAAGGATACTGTTAGATCCCCATAAAACAGGATTCGAGCACTAAATTGTCCCCCAAACAAACAAGTAGGTTTGTGCTTTTCTATGGAAATTCTATTATTTTTGCGAATTTACGCAACTGGGTGTGTTAATTAATTAATAATTGCCCATCGATGGTGAGGCTGTCGTCACCAGCTCTAGCTTCATTACCAGTAAGGTTTTTCACTGTGCTAGATCATATTTTGTCTTCAGTTACTCAAATGTGGCTCAGTCAATGCAGCGTTATACTTCTCTGCAATTTTCTTCCATGCGTGTGTGCAGTATAAACACAGAATTATATAGATGCAAACAAAAAACTCACAAGTGATGACATCCTGATGCTCTACCTTGTTCTTGGTAGTAGAGGCGTCCGCCCGTTTATTTTCAATTATATGTAAATATGACTGAACGCAGTCCGCTTGCTGATGGGCGTACGCGTCCGTAAATTTCCCTTGTCTATCATTGGCACAGTGGCAGGCAAAACAGCGCTATGTAAAACGATTTAGCACGGGGATGAACAGATCAGCACAGTTACAGTGGCAGGGGCAAATGGCACAGAAGCGAAAAGAACGAACGGCGCGGGCGCGATGGGTGCGAAGAACGTAAACGTCATCAGCTGACGCATCGGCCACTGAAAATTCTGCGCCCTGATTGGTCCTCGGTTCGCCCGCAGTGTTACCATCCTAGGGATCGTAAGCTCAAACGGAGATTAACCAAACGCTCTTCCCAAGGTGTTTATTCGAGAAGGGGAGAGATCGACGCGACACGTGGCGGAGAAATATGTAACTAACCTAAACGGGATAAATAATAAGCATTATGGCTGAATGTACGTTAAATTCGTCCTCTTTAAAAAAAAATAAGAGCAAGAATTATTGTTGTGTGCCTCAGTGTTTCACTGGATATGATACGATACATACAAAACACAATTTAACCCCGTTTACACCGCCCATTTTGTTTTGTGGTAGCGCCATCTGTTATCACTTCCCTTCTCGAATAATACGCAACCGCTCTCAATCTTGGTTTGACGTTCAATCGCCGTTTGATTAATCTCCGCTTGAACTGTACTTTTATAATACCAGCCCTTAGACAAGGAAAGAGAGGGGACCCGTAATACCGCATCCACGGCATGCGTGAATTTGACGCGAATTTCGAGACGACCGCCATATTTTCGGTGGCAGTCAAAGCGCGGTGGCAGCATATATATAATAGCGTTTTCGATTGGCAAAACTCGTGCTGCACGAGTGCAATTTTTACGTTCTATTGGTAATTTTAGAGCAATTTTCTGTGTTCCATTGGCAAATGTGATGCAACAATTACGCACTCAGTGCAAATTTCGACGCACGAGGTCCGAGAGCTCGTGGAGCTGCTAGTTAACAAATTTTCAAAACAAACGTGCGACAATTTGAATTTGTTTCTTGCATTGGAGAGTTTTTTGTCGTCATCTTGCGATAGACAAGATGCTGAAATAGCCATAACTTCTATTTTACAAAAAGTTGCACTTAATTCATTAAACTGAACGCCAAAAATTGGTCCTTTACAGGAATTTCAAATTTATCTTCCTCATCGTTTATCATAAATAATACTGAAATCGTTTCAGTCATTTTTTAGAATAGAGATTTGTCGATTACCTAAATCTAAAATGAGGAAGGACAAATGACAACAAATATTTACGAATATTTATGTTCCATTGACAGCAATTTTCACATGCATTTCTTCAGTTTCTCGTGCAACACTCGTGCAGTACGAGTTTTTCCAATCGAAAACGCTATAAGGTATGTACTCCTATAGTACATACATATTGCTTCTCTTATATATATGGATATTTGTGTTACTGAAGTGTGAAGTTAGCATAGAACATAGGTGTTACGTACACTATATTTTACAACTTCAAACTAAATAAAATCCCATCACACAATGAAAAAATAAGAGAATAATAGAAATAGTGACGCCGTACACCCAAAACACAACAAAGAAATAGCAACAGACTATAAGCCAACCAGAACACTCATATGCTGTTTGAATTTATGTATGTCATTATAATGGCAGCTAAATGTAAGGCTAATTTATTGCACCGGCATCAAATACGTATAATTCCAAGTTCATAACTTCACAAAAACAACACCTCATAATTACTTGTTTTATTTTAGGTTAACAAGATAATAAATACAGAATACGCGCGCGCGCTTTTTCTAATGTCATTGGTTCGCAATAGGAATAAGGAATAAAAATTCGACGGAACGAAATTATTATTTCTTATTTCCTAGGCTATTTCATATTTCAGTGTTGTGTGCAAATCCATAAAGATCAGTAGATTGAAAATTATTATTTCTTATTTGTTATTTCATATTTCTTATTCCATATTTTTTTCATTGTGTGATGGGCTTAACATTATCAGCAAGCACCGGTCCCAGCCTAGAGAAGGAAAGAGTAAAGCCCATCACACAATGAAAAAAATAAGAAATATGAAATAACAAATAAGGAATAAGAAATAAGGAATAACAATTTTCAATCTACTGATCTTTATGCATTTGCACACAACACTGAAATATGAAATAAGCCTAGGACATAAGAAATAATAATTTCGTTCAGTCGAATTTTTATTCCTTATTTCATATTGCGAACCAATGACATTAGAAGAGGCGCGCGCGCGTATTATGTAATGACGTAAATTCAAACGGCATGAGTGTTCTAGTTGGCTTATACATAGTCTGTTGCTATTTCTTTGTTGTGTTCTGCGTGTACGGCGTCACTATTTCTTATTCCATATTTCTTATTCCTTATTTTTTTCATTGTGTGATGGGCTTTAGGTGACACCAGAGTTAAGGTTTGGACAATGCAGTGTATAATTTTAATTACAAGATACAATGCCTACTATAAGATTTGGCAACGTTGCATTTGAGAGCAGATATCGACTGTGCCCTTTAAGAACATTAATTCTTGTTAGCATTGTTTATTTATTCATGTAAATAAACAATGATGTTAGGTAAGTGTGTACATTTTCCTTACATTTCCGTTTACATTAAAGTTTTAATGAAGTGCAACAATAGATTTCTTGACAACATTATTGTTCTTTTTAGGTATAGAGGGGGATACACCACTTGTTAAAGTAGAACCAAAACAAGAAGAAGAAATCCATTCCTGTCTTCAGAGAAACATTTTGGTGAGCAATGAAACGTTGGTTACAGTAAAAGATGAAGTCATCACTGCACAGTGTTCTAAATATCTTTATAGTGAAGAAGTACCACAACACTCTGACTTTCACCTTTTAACTCAGTGCAAAACAGAATCTAAAGTTTTTAAATGTGCTGAATGTGATTATGTGGCAAATTATAAAAGCAGACTTAAACAACATCTTTTAAAACATCAAGTTTCCAAAGTTTTTAAATGTGCTGATTGTGATTATGAGACAAATTATAAAAGCAGCTTTAAACATCATCTTTTGAAACATAAAGTTTTAAAAGATTTCAAATGTGCTGATTGTGGTTATGAGACAAATTATAAATACAGCTTTAAACAACATCTTTTAAAACATAAAGTTTCTATGGATTTTAAATGTGCTGATTGTGGGTATAAGACCAATAATAAACATATCCTTAACCGACACCTTTTGATACATAAAGTGTCCAAGGATTTTAAATGTGCTAATTGTGATTATAAGACAAACAATAAATATAACTTTAACCAACATCTTTTAAAACATAAAGTCTCGAAGGATCTCAAATGTGTTATTTGTGATTATGGGACAAATAAGAAACGCCTCTTCAAACAACATCTTTTAAAACATAAGCCTTCGCAGGATTTTAAATGTGCCACTTGTGATTATGCAACAAATGATAAAGGCAACATCAGACAACATCTTTTAAACCATAAAGTTTCGAAGGATTTTAATTGTGCTGATTGTGATTATAAGACGAACAATAAATATTACTTTAACCACCACCTTTTAAAACATAAACCTTCTAAGGATTTTAAATGTGCTGATTGTGATTATAAGACAAACAGTAAATCTAACTTTAACCAACATCTTTTAAACTATAAAGTTTCGAAGGATT